AGCTGACAGATGAAAAATTCCAAGAACATGTGTATAGATACCTGTTGCCGATGAAATCCAATACGTCAAAAGTCTCTCTCGTTCTCTTTTTTCTTCTATTTTTTTTTTCCTCCCTTGCTAATACACCCCTCCCTCCCTTCCCCTATCTCGATAAAAGATACCATTTATGGAGTATATTTAACAAAGGAAAATAATCGTACACAAGAATAGTTTTCTCTCGTTCGCAACTCAAATTCTACGAATTTAACTTTAATAACAATATTCTATCGATACGGTGAATACAAATAAAAAAGAAAAACTAAAAAAATGGAAAAGGTAGGTTTGTAAAAATACGAACTCTCTCATCGTTCATATCCATCAATTTCAAATCATCGTGACCTACATACGTCAATTTCTACACCTCTTTCTCTCTCTCTCCCCCCCCTCTCTTCCCCCACCGACAGTACTTCTCAAGAGATATTTCATTTTCAGATGTTCCCGCGTGAAGTTTACTCGACAAAAATTTTTCATTCAAAGAATAAACGAAACTCACGAGATAGTCGATGTAACTTCTAAGCCGATTTCGTTGCAGGCGCCTTTCTTATGCCTTTTCTCGCGTAAAACGTCGACTTATCCATCCTCGCAAAACGAAAACACCGTACACGAACGAAAATCAATAAAAAATTTCATGTCCCGTCGGTTTTGAGAGCGTTACTATTTTTCGAGCGAATTGCGTAAAACACATTTATCACTCAACGTATACGTCCGGATCGTTTGTAAACTTCTGAAAAATGACAGCCTGTTACTAGAAACTCGACCTATAAAAGCAATTTGCGTAAAGAACATTACAATTTTCTCAACTATTACTTAAGAATTTACAAAATTCCACGATGTTCTAATAAAAATTCATATTAGACAAGGACAAAGATTATGAATTAACGATAACATATTTAACAAATATATTTTTAAACGTAATATGTTGTAATGAATTTCGTTTATTTTTTTTCTTTTAATTCTCGTTTAAAAAGTTTTAGAAATCATTAAATTCACTCAAATATTACATCCAAAGTCCTATCGACAACTTTAGATAGCAATTACTAACAATAAAAAAAACTACTTGCAATTACGAGCGAAGCGAAAATTACGCATACAATTTTTTTTTTCTCTCGTCGTTTCGTAATTTGCAGAAGAGTTCGTTTTTCCAAACGGAAAAAATATGAGAAACGTAAAAAATATGAAATTCAATTCTCCTGCTCTTTTCACTTGAAGAGACCCTTCCCATTCTAAAAAGTTAGATAGTTTGAGTTTAAAATTCGTCGACGAGTCGAGCATAGGAAAGAAAAAAAGAATAAAAACAAAACCAAGAAAAAAAAACAAAAAACAAAAAACGAGAAGGAACAAAAAATATGCATCGGGAACAAAATTGCGATCGATCGTTTGTCGTTATTTCGTTTCTGCTTGTAACCTCTGCCAAAATGCCCATTGGAAAATTTTCCATTCGACGATATTATTTAAATCGGCTTCGATATCGATGATCCAACAACGAGTTTGTCGGTTTACACGACTGCAGATCTCGTATCGTTGATGCGGAAAGTCGATGTGGAAAGTTAGTTACCGTGTAAAATACACAAGAATTGTTATTCCTATCTATAATGGTAATCGTCGAACTGGCATACTCGCAAAATAACATCGATAAAATCTAATAATTAAAATTAAACAATGTCTATATCTACTTCCACGCTAACACAAGCAAGTATTTGTATCCTGATTGGAAATGCATAATTAGCGAATCAATACTTATCATTTATTTCAAGTACGATCAAAAATAATATCGCAAATATTAATTTCCTCCATGATTTTCCAACGATCGAATTATTTTTAATACACGGAGAAAATGTCGAATAAAGGAAATGCGAATAATATTTCCTTGATAAATTCCGATAATAATTATTTTGTTAGTGAAAAAAAAAAAAAAAATCATCGATGCAAATTCGATTTCCATTTTTTATCGAGATATTCAAAGGTAAAACGAAAAATCGTTTATTCACTCGTGTAATTCATTTAAAACAGTACAAAAATAGAATTTCTTTGCCGGATAAACCAAAAGTATTCGAGGTAACATTGGCACGCGTTCTCCAAATTATTTTTCTCATTCGATCGGTCATTAAGGAAAATTCAAAAGGTTTCACTCGTTTTCCTTGAGAGAAATGTGATTTAGGAAAATCAAACGATAGAAGGTTCCTGTTGTCGAAAGTTCCTAACAAATAACGCTTAAATATGTACTTGGGAGAATAATTGCTCAATTAAATTCGCAAGTAGCCAATGAGTAGGTAGGTAATAGTAAGTAGTGGTAATAGTAGTAGTAATTCACTTTCAGTTTAGAGCCTACGGAACCTACAGTCGGTTCTCTACTTATACCCTTGTCTTATTTTAGTGGAAGTGTCAAGAACTTTCAAAAAGAGATTGCTGAGTAAAAAAAAAAAAAAAGACGCCGAAACCGTACAAAGCGAAAAGAAAGCGACTTGCACAAGAGAGTCAACCACTAGGGAGACTTAAACTGGAATGTACTTCTGACGTTTGTAGTAACTCGAGCAGTTGCTCGGTCTGGCTGCGCGATTATATTTGATGGATCGAAAGAGTCGAAGAGAAAAAAATAGAAAAAAGGAATACGTAGACTAAAAACATATTTGAAAAATCGTTTTACAGAATGACTTTTTCCGTAAAAAAGTAAATCAGGCTTTAATGCTGGATCTCAAAAGACAGTCAAGTTTAAAAAGAAAAGAAAAAGAGTGTCTCGTAAAAAGTGCCAAGTATCACACCAAGCCCTACTATAAAATACAGGGAATAACTAATTTTGTAAAAAACGAACGAAATCCGATGGTTCCGATCGATCGTGACCTCGTAAAATTTATTGAATCGTAACGTTTGCAAGTGCAGTGGAGTAATCGTGCATTTATGCGTGCACGGTGATAAGAAAGAAAACGTTTCGGACTTGAAATTAAAATTAAAAAAGAAAAAAAAAAAAAGAAAAATAATTATATTCTAACTGACATACTGAATCGTTAAGGAAACAGACAACGGAAAAGGTTATGGTAACTTGAAAAATATACGGTCCATTTAACTTTGAATGTATATTTAATACAATTATAAGATATTAAATATAATACAATTATTAAATATTATATTAATAATACAATTAGAACATTAGAAATATTTTTTTTCTAACATCCCAACAAATGATCTCTACGATATCATTTTGATAAATATTTTTCAAATATATTTCAACCAACGATTAAAAAATACAAACTATTTATAATATTAAACCACGAGAGAAAAGAGAGAGAGGGAGAGAGAGAGAGAGAGAGAAAAAGACATAAAGAATAAGAAAATTTGTGAAACTACGTATCCGATATCAGCGTCCCTAAAAAAGAGCTCATTTTGTCGGATAAGCACTCTCATCGCTGACGCATAATATCTTATACGGGAAGACATAAGAGAAGAGTTTTATCATTTTTAAAATACCTACGGCGTGTATACATAACTCCCGTAATATATCCTTAATGTGATCCGGACCGACATTACAGCGGGATGTTTTACATTAAGGTCGTCCACCGTACTTATACGGTACCTTATCTCTCTGTCTCTTTCTCTCATGGTTTCCCGCTGGGGAACAATAGAGTATTAGTTTTGCTGCGGATACATATTATATAGTATTCACTAAGAAAATCACAGGAGAATGAAATTACGGCTGGAAAAAAGACAAGCAACAACTTTCATGTTTAATCTTATCGCATGAAAAACAAATATAATGTATAACGTTCGAATGATTTTAAAAATTGTTTAAAGTGTGAAACTAATTCGTTCATCTATTTATCTTGGTCGATATAAACAAAAAAAAACATCGAACAACAAAATGTAAAGTGTGCGAGCGGGAAATTTTTCTTCTTTTTTTTTATTTTTCTTTTTTCTTTTTTCTTTTTTTTCTTTTTTTTTTTTTTGTTTTTATTCAACACCTATACACGAAAAATTTTATGAAATTTTATCCGTTACAAGTGAAAATTTTCATCGACGTCGATGACAAAACGTTTGTCGGAGTACGTTAAAAAAAGAAAAGGTATTTAAAAAAAAAAAGATAAAAAAACCATAAAACGCGAATATGTTTTATTACATTTTTCTCGTCCTTTTTACACGCGTGACACGATTAAAATTTTCGACATTGCTGCATTTTCATTCCGCAAGTTACAAAAAGCTTTTCGTTCGAACATCGAACCATACAGAAAAAGATGGCTTTTATTTTTAGATTTATCGATTAATTTGATTTTTTTTTTTTTCTTTCTAATATACGTAATACCGTAATAACGCGAAGAATCACTAAATCGACAATAACATACGCGTACTCTTCAAGTTTCCCAAAGTTGCTTAGGAATGGGCTAAATGAAAAAGTTAGTTTCCTTCATTGGAACGAATCCCATGTCTTCACGATAGCATGCATTACTTTCATGTACTTCAAACTTTCTCTCTTCTCTTTTCTCTTTATTTTTCTTTCGTTTCGTTTTTTTCTTTTTTTGTTTCGTCTTGTTTTTCCTTCTTTTGTTTATACCCCGCATATCGCTACGATAAACAATCAACATTTCCGGGTCTCTCTCCTCTTTATGAATTTTTTTGGCCGTCTGATTTTATTAAAAAACAAATAAAAATCTTGCTAACGTTCCGGAAACGAGAGGGAAATTACTTTCGCATCGATGCATAGAAAATAAAAGAAAAAAAATTAAAGGATTAAAAAAAAAAAAAAAAAAAGAGAAAAAAAAGAAAGACAAAGAAAAAATGTTCAGAAAGTAAAAGAAAAAGGAAAAAAGAAAAAAAAAACAAACGGAGTACGCAAAATTGCCTGCTGCTCTTTTGAACGTCTCGAGGATATTTAATTTCGAGAAACAAGAGAAGGAAAGCGTTTGTAAATTAACAAATGGTAGACATGGGCGGTAGAACCGCATAGAAGGAAAATAATTTCGTTAAAAACTTACTCGCACAGACGCCCTCGTCCACTTCCCGCGTGTGAGGCAGTAGATTTTTGATTACACACTGCAGTCCGACCGCGCAGCTCCCGGAAAAGCCGAAAAGACCCCCGCATGGTTCGCCTTCAACGCGCGCGCATACTTTGCAACATCTGGAAAACAGAGAGAGAGACAGAGAGAGAGACAGAGAGAGAGAGAGAGAGAGAGAGAGAGAGAGAGAGAGAGAGAGAGAGAGAGAGAGAGAGAGAAAGAGAAAAAAGAGAGAGAGAGAGAAAAAAAGAGAAAAGAGAGAGAGAGAGAGAGAAAAAAGAGAAAAAATAGAGAGAGAGAGAGAGAGAAAAAAAGAGAAAAAAGAGAGAGAGAGAGAGAATAAGAGAAAGAAAGAGACACATAAAATGTATTATTTTATTTCTGTCGTATATAGCTCGTATATACGTAAGTATGTATGTCGAAGGGGAAGAATATCTCGGACATTGCCCAGTCGTTTTTTCTGGGAACAAAATAATTAAAAAAAAAAAAAAAGAAATGTGGATAGCAAGTTTGAAGTTATTGTTTTCTTAATTCATACTTTTGAGATTGTCTGTGTATTTAAAGTAAAAAATATTTTAAAATGAAATCTAATGGAATTTAATTATCCCGCTTAAACTCCCTCCCTTCCATCTCAATTCTTATTAAAAAATTTCGTTTGTAATAAAATGTCTGACCAATAATTGAGAAAAATATTTCTAAAATTTTTCGAGAAAATTAAGAAATAGTAAACATTGTTAAATAATGAACATAATACGTATATCTTTTTTATTCAAATACTCTCTTGTTCGAAGAAATTTTCCGAAACTTTTGATTCACCTATCGCGTGATTTACATCGATTTGACGTATGCTCGAGAAAAGAAAAGAACCATAAAATCGTCGTTCGTGATAGGAGAAGATAGAACAAACAACGAATACGTGTAACTTGGTTATTTTCATTCAAACCTAACCTGAAGTTTTGCCCTTCCTCACCGAAAGAAAATTCTATGGGTTAAAAAAAAAAAAAGAAAAGAAGAGAGAGAAAGAGAAAATAAAAAGAGAGGAGAAAAGTTCACCCACGAGTAAAAAGCGCTAACGTTTTATAGGGCAACCGAACGTAGGAAGTTTCAATTTTCTGCCCGTTTGAGCAAAGTAAAGTACAAACATTCTGTAAGAAACCAAATCCTATTCTAATTCAATAGAGACAGTGACAAAAGTGAAATAATTTTCAATCGAGTTTCGTAATTCAAATACCATGAGAATACGATTGGAGTCAACATAACAAGCATTACATGCTAAACATTTTCCAATAAATTCCTGATACTGTGAATGACCGAACGATCTCATTTCGTGCCTGACAACAATCTATCCTCTCTTTCTCTCTCTTTCTCTCTCTCTCTCCTTTCCTTTATCAATTCCCCCTTAAATGAATCTAATCCATTTTGTCCTATATATCTCAAAGATATCTCAAAACTCATAATTGATCTTTGAGGGAACGAAATAGGGTAAAATTTGGAAACAAAAATTTCTCTGTCACTTTTCTTTCCGGTCATTATGGAGACTTTGGAACACCTTGTATAACATCATTATTTAACAAAAAAAAAGAAAAAAAAATTAATATACACGAAATTTGACGAGGAAAAGATTTGATTTAATTTTTGTGTGAAAATCACAACAGAAAAACATTTATGTGCGTGTGCGCGCGCAGCTCGCGCGTGTGTATTGTGTGTGTGTGTGTGTGTGTGTGAGAGAGAGAGAGAGAGAGAAATAAAGAAAAAAATAATATTTCAAACGACTTTAAATTTTCCAAAATGAACGAAACGAACCTCATATAATGAGTTACACTCTATTAATAGATCGTTATTTAAATAATAGAGAAATTACTAGATAGCTATTTGCTATCTCATAAGTTTTCCGACTGTTTTTCAGTTGAGTCGTATAAATAATATCCAGTATTATATATCTCTGGTATTAAACTAACTCTACATCAGCGTTAATATTTCTCTACGTTCGTAAAAATAAAAAATTTTTATTTAACTTAATTTATTTCGTCTAATTGATTAATCATTTTCCTCTGTGAATAAAACAATCAAATAAATTTCGTTTCCATCAGTATCGATCGAATGGAGTTCAGTGGATATTCAACAAAATAAAATATTAATTTATATAAATAATTAATAAATTCAAAATATAATTTGTTTTGAGGAACGTAGATCACTTGGATTTCTATGATTTATTTGTATCCATGAAAAATTGTATTTAGAATAAAATAACCAGATTGAAATATAAGAATATATTACAAACGTAATATATTTTTGTAAAGTAATCAAACGTTACGTTTGTATTTTCGTTACATTAATCTCTGTATTCAACACGGTAAACACGTAGAAACGAATCCGTTCTTTCTCGAGTTGTCATCGAGATACGATCACAAACGCGAGAATTTCTTGCAGATAGAACGTGGAAAGCATCGACTAGAATTTATCTACGGAGAGAGAAGGATAGTGTTAAAGGAGGTGTACGTTCTCGTAAGTCGACGAAGAGAAATGATGAGAAATAAGCTTGGCTGAGTACGAAGCTTCTCGCGATATTCTGTTGTTCCTTTTGAAATTCAATTTCTACCTATTCGAATCAGCATAAGCATATAAAATGTCGATTGCAAGTATAACCACGTAGATATACCTACACACGTAACATACAGGCAGAATTTTATAAAGATTACTCTCCTTCGAAAGGAAACTACCTTTACCTACCATACACACATACATACCATGTACACAGATACATACGTACATACATACATACATACATAGATAAATACGTGACGAAATTACAATGGCTAAAATGTTGTATTACGCTCGGTCGTTCGACGTTTTCGTATTTTGTACGATCGTTACGATCTTCCCGTTCCTATTCTGGAACGAGGATGAACACATAAAAGCTATTGGAATTAACATTTCAAGCTCAAGATTTGACCAACGAACAAAACGTTTTATTCGTGATATGATTTCATTTTATTCGTAATCAATGGAAATGGTTTAACGAGCATATCTAATTATATCCGAAATAACTGAACCACGATACACCCTTTCTCTACCATAATATAATAGAAACAAATGTCCGAAAGAAACCTTTAGTTTTACATAGCTCGTTAATGAAATGCAAGTTTCATATTTTCATATCATTTAAACTTTACATAATATTCGCATGAAAATGAATGCAACAGATCGGGAATATAAAACGTACGTGCACAATGACTATGATCGTTCCTGAAATATATATATGAAGTATATATATATGTATGTGAGCAAGATTATTAAATAAAAATAAATAAAATTAAAAAAGAGGAAAAAGAGAAGGGAAAAGTAATTAAAAAGAAAAAAGAAAAACAAATGAAATTCTAATCGGCGGAAGAAAAAGAGGAAAAAGAAGAAAAGGGGTGGAAAGTAGAGAGAATGTGGGATTTTTTAATCGATTCAAGACTTTTTCTGGGTTGCGTATAAATTTATCAACGACATTGAATTTGCGATCTCGATAAAAACGAACGGGACGAGCGACAAGCTATTAAGAAAGTTTTCGAATCGAAATGCAATTTTCGATAAATTAAGCGAAATTAAAAGTTTAAATGGATATTGGTCCAAAGGTAGGGAACAAGGATGAGAAGTGTATCAGAGTGTCGGAGTGGGAACAATGATGAACAGGATTCTATATCGTAGAGTCAGCAGATCGATGGTTTTCGTTCTTCGTTCAACGGAAGCTGGCAATAACGAGCCACGTCATGATTCACGAATCAATCCGAAATCCCAATCTCCTACGATTTTTATTCGATTCTCTTTCTCTCTCTCTCTCTCTCTCTCTCTCTCTCTCTCTCTCTCTCTCTCTCTCTCTCTTTATCCATCTATCTATCTATCTATCTATCTATCTCCATCTCTCTTTGGATCGATCAGATCTATCGGACATACGGCTCTCGCCACTCGAAAAGCAATTACGTTCAAATTGTTCACCTTACAAGTAACTTCCTCCCGTTTCAAGTGGACCGCTCTCATTCTCGCGTGCAATTTCAAAGAGCGCGAAGAAAAAGGGTCGCTTCGAATGAGAAAAGAGAAAAGGATGGGTTAGGAGGGTATGACGAAAAGAGAGTTTCTTCGCGTCAAAGTGAGTTAACAATGATGATATTTCGTAATTGCTCATCATTTAAATTCCATTGTAATCTCGTCAATTTCATCCGCAATATGTAAGAAAAAAAAAGGTATATATATATATCGAACGTTTCCGATTGGATTACCAAAATCTTTTACAATCCTCGAATTTTTTTATTTATCTTTATTTTTAGAAATGAAGAAGATTCCACGATATATATGTAGAAATAATAAAAAAATTGGAAGAATAAAAAGAAAAAAAATACACATGGAATAATTCAGATCTTGATAAAATTAAATCGAGAAAAACATTAACCCGTATACAACTGTAAATCTATAAATCCTCTTCAAAATGTACGTACTCTGGAAATTGAAGGAAAAGAAAAAAAGTAAATAAATAAGTCAAAGAAAGATATTTCGTGTTGGATATCGCATCGAGATCGTAGATGTAACAGAAAACGATAAATTGATACGATTGTACCTAGTGATTCAAGATGTCCGTAAACGATGCTGACCTGCTTTTCGTCGGGTCGTTTACGAATGAGAGTCGAATGTCATTTTAAAATAGTCACAATATATAACATTATTTTCTATTCGAATATATGTTTTTTATGTGTATACGTTGTAACGGTAATCAAAATAAATATCATCAGTAACAATATTATTCTTCTTTCCTGTAAGATTAACGGATGATTATTACTAACAAAAAAAAAAAAGTGTATGAAAAATGAAATATTTTTACTATTACGAAATTGTGATATCAATTCAACAGATCGTCGGAAATGAAATAAAATTATACAAATTTTATTCTTGATTCAACATTTTGCGATTTAATACACGTGTATGTTATATTAATGAATCTTCGTTATCTCGAGTAAAGAATTGGAATGACGTAATAATGATTAATTTCTAGATATTACACCCTTTTACATCGCACCAGTTTATCTTTCGAGATTGTTCGGTATCTTTTTAAAAACACGAAAAGTACTTGAGATACAAGCGTTAAACGACTCGCCCTTTATATATCAAAGAGCTCTGTGTGATAACACGGTTATCTAATGCAAGCAAGAGTAACTCTGTTGAATGGGGCGTGCCACGACAAAAGAGGTCCTTCGTCGAGCGTCAAGTTCCGTTCTTCGAGACTTCGATCATCTCGAGTACGTCCTAACGAGTAAGTAGGTATATATATATACCTATATGCATATATATATATATATATATATATGCGCGTGCGTGCATGCGTGTATGTGTGCGTATATTTATATTATATATTAGGGTCAAAGTAATATATTAAAGAATATATGTATATAGATAATAATCAAATTACATGTTACAAGTGATAAAATCGATAATTTTTCTGTATTTTATTATTTATCAAATTATTTTATCTATTATTTCATTGTCTAATTATAACGTAATGTATTAGCCTAAAAAAACAAAAAAACGATATCAATAGCCTGATTGATCTCTGCCATTCCTAAGTTAATTATTATTTTTTTTCTTTTTTTACGTTTTATATTAGACATATGATGATTAAAAAAAAGGTAAACTATTTATATACAAACAATCGATTGATTGTTTATATATACAATCAATGTAATGAATTTATATATAATCGATTTATATATAATCAATGTAATGAACGTAACGATATAACGATATAACGATATAACGATGTAATGATCAGATTGAAAAAATTGTTATACATATGTATGTATATATACCTAATAACTAACCATTATATATAATTTTCAAATGGAACACTTTGAACGTAACATGTTTATCTACATCTCAACTGACATAAAAATAAAAAGAAAATGTAAGAATCCATTACGAATTGTTTTACATTAAGTACACGTTCAACCGAGCGAATTTCCCTTCTCCTTTCTCTTTCACCCGGTTCGTTCGTTTAATTAAGTACACGGAAGCTTGAATATTGCGTTCCCTCAAAGAACCAAACGCTTACCTGGGCTCAAAAAATAAAAATAATTATTATCCGTTCGTCGTTGTTACGTTTTTCTTTTCAAATCAAATATCAAATATCATTTTTAACAATTTACATAATTTTTGTTCATTCGTGCTCAATGGAAGAATTGATCTTTTTTTTTTTTAGCGGATCATTGAAAGAATCGTAGATAGTTTGACTTCGTATAGTTAAATGATCATCGGTGGTTTAAAATATTTCGTCTGCTGAACTATCAACGATTTTCTACATAAAATTATTTTCAATTTTTGCAATAAGTATCGGAAAATTTCTGTCGTTAAGTTTCTTTGATATCCACTTACTGTGACTTAAGTGACTGACACGTTTATTTTAATCTATCCATAACCTCTTATTAAAGAAATATACGATAAGAGAGATACATATTTTTTTATATATACTCGAATAAAATACATTCGTGTGTGTTGATGTATGTGTGTAATCGTTCACATATCGTGTATCGATATTTTCCCCTTATTAATAATCGTTCTAAAGTAGTAAATGATAATAATCAAAAGTGTAATATTGAAAAAAAATCAGAAAGATCATTCGTGAATCAATTAATTCATTTCAATCCTCATAATTAATCCAATCGATATAAAGTAATAAAAATAAAGAAGAAAAATTATCCACGATTTCTTACAATATTCAATTAATCTCTAGAAATATTATTCTTAAATATTTCGTAATAATATTATTGTCGTTGTTACATACATCGTCGTTCTCTATTTCTCTTCTCTAGAACAAACGAGTGCAAAAAAAAAACAATAAAACAAAACGAAAACAAAAAAATAAACGGACGCAAAAAAAAAAACATCGATCAGAGTTACATCGAGTAAGTTTAAATGTATTTTTCTCATGGTATATCCCGTCGGCAAGAACACGCTATTCAAGCAGCTATGAAAAGCAAATGTGGCTAGTTACCTGCAGGGATCCCAGGTGAGGCCTCCAGGGCAATCCTCGTCGGTGAGTACGTCACACTCGAGCGGTGAACACACACAGGATAGTGCCCTCGCAACCGCGATCGAGAGAACGACGATAATGCCCCCCAGGAGTAGTAACGAAGCCCTCATTTTTTTTCTTTTCTTTTCACCTCTTTCACTTTTATTTTGGTTTACTTTTTATATCTTTTTTCGTTTTGTCTTTTACCCTCCTCCGCCTCCTCCTCCTCCTCCTCCTCCTCTTCCTCTTCCTCTTCGAAGAGGAAGAAGAATCAGGCCGATTAACGTTCTCCCACGAGAGAATCCAACACTCACGATCGTTCGGTCACGAGTAGTACGGTCACAGAGGATGGTAGCAGCATCACGTCGAGAGAGCAGCACGGAGACGCGACGGCGCCTTTGCGCCCCGATTTATCACCCCTGATGCACCTACTCGCATCTAAAACGCACGCGATTTCTTCTTTCTTTCTTTCTTTCTTTCTTTCTTTCGTTCGTTCGTTCGTTCGTTCGTTCGTTCGACGCACACTATCATGCAATTTTTCTTTCTCTTTTCTCTTACGAGCTGACCATCCGAAAGTTTTCTCCTATGTATGTCACGTTCATGTACGTATACGTTTAAATGTTTGTATCTTTTTTGTCTGTGCGTGCATGCGTCCGTATGTGTGTGTATGTGTGGTTGTGCGTGTACGCGCACGGATGGTTGAGTGGGTGGGTGGTTGTTTAAACAAAAAAAAGAAAAAAAGAAAAAGGAAAAATATTATCAAAAAGAAAGAATTCTTTCTCGACTTTCTCGCTAAAAGGACACGTCGGTGAATTACGATAGCTCAAAGTACATGCATACGTATGTAGGTATGTACGAGAGCCGATTCGAAGACGACGAATACGATGAGAATGATAAATGGAAGGCACCGATGCGTGTACACACTTCGTTTCGACTCACCGTCTAAGAATAACCGTCCCCTTCGCGTAAAACACGATGATCGAAGGGTGCGGAGGGGCCTGCCGGTAAAGGTAAAATAAGGAGAGAGAAAGAGAAAAAGAAAGAGAAAGAGAAAGAGAGAGAGAAAGAGAAAGAGAGAAAGGAAGAAGATGAAGGAAACCACGAGAATCCGATAGCGAAAAGTCAACTTTTGATTTATGCGAGAAACGAGAATACCCTCCGGAGAAATTTCATAGTTTATACTCGAAGAAAGTAGGCTAAGGTGGTCTCCTATCGAGGATTTAATTATATTATCGGTATTCAAAAGTAGTTAATATAATATAAAAATAAAAGAAAATATTTTATCATAGAAATATTTCTACGAAATTCAATAGAACGAAAGTTAGACAATAATCTATTCCAATCGAATACTATAAATATATCTTAAAATGTGAATTGGTATAAAAATCATAGGTTACACTATTAACACGATTTTCGTATTTCGATGTTAGAAATTTAATCGATATAAAAATCTTCATAATCTTTAACAATCACAATTTATCTCTCTCAATAAAAATAATTTCGTCACAAGAATCTATTTATAATATCGATGTTTTAATTGTTAATATAGAAAAGAAAAAAATAAATAAAACAGAAAAATAACAATATTTCACAAATAAATATCGAAAAGAAATGATATCATTTCGAAATGTTTTTACAAAATATAAGTTGAAGAAATATAATAGTAATGTATATAAATATTTAAAAAAATTTTTAAATCACTATAAATATAGAATGTTAAGCCACACGATTAATACTGCTTTATTAATAGAATTTAGAATTCCAATAGCTAGGAAAATCTTCGTGGATAATATATTAAATTGACGTAATTGAAAAATCTTTAAGAGTCACGGTTTATTCTCAAACCGAAGTAGATTAGAACGAGCCTGCCAATTTTCCCTTTCTTTCACGTCAACCTCCTAATTATACCATCAAACGTGATGGCTGGTACGGATCGAAAGGGAATCCCTCGAGGTAATCAAGCTTCCAAGTATGTATATATGTATGTATGTGTATATAAACGTGTATGTGTAAGAGATAGAAATAGATAGATAGATAGAGAGAGAGAGAGAGAGAGAGAGAGAGAGAGAGAGAGAAAGAGAGAGAGAAAGAGAGAAGACAGAAAGAAGAAAGATTCTAGGACGCATCGCTCAGAATCGATCGATCATATTCGAGAAACCTTGGAAGGACATCAGGATCCATCGATGAAACTATGCTCGCTACTATCATCCAGCTTGAAAAGTTTCTTCTCCGATGATATCGGCCTCATATTCGATCTACCTTCAACGTTTCTAGCCGCAATGCCGTATTAGACCGCAACGTGCACACACAGACATATACGCACACCAACCCATCCACACACACACACATAAATATGTATAAAATATAATGTATGTGTGTGTGTGTGTGTGTGTGTGTGCATTGAGAGAACTCGAAATAAGCGTTGAGAATACTTTAACTCTATGGAGCGAGGTGCTGCGTAAGAAACACGGAGAAACTATCCCCGTTACATGCACGTATTTCCCGATGGACATAAACTATGCTGCAACATACGATCCTGAGTATGGCTATGTGCATGTGTGTAGATATAGATATATGTAACGAAAATCGCAAGAGAACACGTATGTATATACCTATATATATCGTGGTAGCACGTGTGCAACGACAACGAAATGAAAAATATATATATATATATATATATATATATATATATATATATGTTATATACTGCTTCGTATATTCTCATTGACTATTCTGGCAGATGCTTGATATTGTAAGTTTCCCTTTCAAAATTTGATATACCGAAGGATCAACTTCGATGAACGAACCTAGTGTATTCTTAACTTTTCGAGATGATGACGAAGAGATGACAGAAGATAGAAATTACTTTTATCGTAACTTATGAAAGAACTCGTAAAGATCTCGAACAACACAAAACTATATAAACCTAAATGAAAATAA